GGGGTGCAGCAGAGGGCTCAGGGCAGGGGGTTGGGGTGCAGAGTGCAGGAGGGGTTTGGGGTGCGGGCTTTGGCCTGGCACAGCTTACCTTGAGTGGCTCCGGGGTGGCAGTGGCGCGCAGCTGGGCTAAGGCAGGCTCCCTGCCTGCCCTGGCCCTGCGATGCTCCCGGAAGCGGACGGCACCACGACCCTGCGGCCTCTAGGGGTGGGCAGAGGACTCTGCGTGCTGCCCTTCCCTGTGGGTACCTCCCCCCACAGCTCCCATTGGCCTGGAACGGGGAACCGTGGCCAATGGGAGCTTTGGGGGAGGCACCCACAGGCGAGGGCAGCATGCAGAGCCCTCTGTGCCCCTCCTCCCCCAAGGGCCACAGGGATGTGGTGCCGACCGCTTCCGGGAGCGGTGCGGGGCAAGGGCAGGCAGGGAATCTGCCTTAGCCCTGTGGCACCATGGGGGTGGCAATCCCGCGAGCCGGATCCAAAGCCCTGACGGGCCGGATCTGGCCTGCGGGCCGTAGTTTGCCCACCCCTGACCTAGAACAAAGCATTTCAAAAACACTTGTAGATATGGGGATATTGCTGGCTTAACTACTACTAATTTAAAATCCATTGACCATTATGTGTTTGACTTTCCACTTAGCAATGAACAATTTTACCCATATCTACAAATCAGAGGTTTTTATGAAAGTGCACTGAAACTATGAATTAAAGGTGGACAATAAGACCCGTAAAGAATGAAGAAAGATATTTGCAATATGCCCTAATATTATTTCTAAAATATGCTTCATATGACACCGGACTCAGAGTGGTATGACCGATTGCTGACAGGGAGTTTTCAGAACCCCCATAACTTCTCAGCTCAGATCCATAAAGAGACTTAAGTGTTGCAATTCCTAACTTTTAGATGCCTAGAAAATCACTGAACAAAAATGGGATCCACAAAGCCTGAATTGGGCACCTAAGCTCCCTGTACAATGAATAGGAGGAGATAGGAACCTCAGAATGGCATCCAAAAAAGCCAGCCTGCTAGGTGGGGAACTGCCTAAGCTACCTAATGGGTGATGCCAACGAGGAAGGTGTCGTAAGCCCCTCCAACAGAGTTCGGTACCGAAGTCCAGGCTGCAGGGAGATTCCTATCTCTGCTTGAGATCCACAGCCATGAACACTCTCCTGGAGTAAGATGGCTTCAGCACCTAATTCCATGGAAAATGACTGGGGATTGGGATGGAGGAGGAGGAGCCAGAGGCAGCAAGGGCCTCCCTTATAACCTTTAACCCAGAGTTTTAAGGTACTTACCTGGGATGTATGAGACCTTGGTTCAATTTCTCCCTCTAGTGAGGAGAAGGGATTTGAACAGGAGTTCTCCAGCTCTCACGTGATATTTGTCTGCTTCCTAACAAGGGAATATGAATCCTTGCCCAACAGGGGTGTGAAATTAACAGAATTATTAAGACTAGTTGATAGAAGCAGTGAGACCAGTCTTTATGGTCTCCTGGCTCCCATCACAGTGGGTCTTTCTATAGGCCAAAGGATATTTTGAGGGATGAGATTGTTTTTGCTTGTCTTGCTTGGAGCGCTAGCTCTGTGTGTGTATTGTATGCACACTGTGCAGGAAGTTCAGCAGGACCCTGAACACTTGAAGTACAGTTGGAACGTTCAGAAAATTGATGGGCATTTTTTCAAAATCTATGGTGCATGTAGAAATGGCAATTTGCTATTGTTTATAACATAGGTGTAGTTTGCACACAGAGTTGCACCACGTCAACTAAAGGTGAGATTTTTAAAGCAATTTAGTTAAATCCGTGAAAAATCCTGTGTGGACACTCACAAATCAGTTTTAAGTTGACTTAAATCTGTTTAGTTTGGATTTGGTAAATGTACAACCCCCACTAATCCAATATAACTGGTTTTAAACTGATAAGTGTGTTCATGTAGGTTTTGAATTTGCACTGATATAACTAAATCCATTTTAAAAACCAGTTTAAGTTAGTACAACTTGTGTGTAGACAAGGCCTTATCAGGGAAGGGAAGGATTAACTAGTCTTCAGATGGATAATTTTAAAAAACACGTTTTTAAAATATATATGTTTAAATACATTCTTTTTATTAACTGAAAGCTATTTAAAGACTTTAATGATAACTTTAATATAGATTATGCCTGGCACAAAAATTAAGCACTGTTTATGTTTATATATTTTGTTTCGGAATAATTAAGTCCCCGATCCTGCAAATACGCATGTGCTCAATTTTAATCACATGAATAGTTCCTTTGACTTTAATTAACATGAAGGTTCTTCGGTGGAACTATGCATGTGCTTTAAGTTAAGCGTGAAGATACGAGTTTGCAGGATTGGGGCCTTAGAAGTTATATATTGTTAACTGCTAAATATACTGCAATATGGGGATATACCTTTCTGTACTGGCTCAAAGCCTTTCAGTTCACTTAAATAAAAAAATCATTCTGTTCCTTTTTATGCTTTCTTGCTATTATAGAACAACAAACCATGTTATTTTGATATGAAATATTGTTTTCTGTATTGCAGGGAATAAATCACAAAGGGAGGAGCTGGACTCCATTCTGTTTCTTTTTGAAGTAAGTTATCTTATTACACTGTTTACTCCACAATGAGACCTACAAAACTTATTCTTCACTGCTTCATTCCTTGCGTAGTCATATACAGCTGTGCAGAGTAAATTTAATATGCACAAATCAAAATGGTGGTAGTATTTTATTCCCATTTTGCACAAGTGTCAGTGACTATATACAGGAGCACCGCCAGCTTTTTTGCCGCCCTAGGCGGCGGAAGGTCCCACCTCTGAAATACCGCCCCCGACAGAGGCGGCGGAAGGTCCCGCCCCCAAAATACCGCCAACGACCGGGGCGGCCGAAGATCTGGCCGCTGTGGTCGCTGCCCCGCAAATGTTAGTGCCCTAGGCGACCACCTAGGTCGCCTAATGGGTTGCGCCGGCCCTGACTATATAAATTGCAAGTCAGTAGAGATTCAGGCCATGTATTTACTATTACTACTTTTTTAAATAAATATTCAGAAATAAACTCTGTATTATGATACATGAATACCATGAGCTTGAGTAATATCGAGACCTAAGAAATTCAAAATGAAAATAAAAGCTATTTCATCTTGCAACATTATATGGAGCCTAGTTCTAGACTCCTCTGGCCTCTAATCACTATTATATATTGTATTAGTCAGTTTCTTCCAATCAGAATAAAGGATTTTTTAAAATCTCTTGACTTCAGCCTTTTAGGCTTTCTGATGAATGCTAATGAAAAATGTAACTAAAAATCAAATTTAAATTATTTTAGACCATAAATATTGTAGAAATATAAAACACACAATTTGGAGATAAATTTTCTGTATGTTAATTTGTATTGTTGGGGGTACTGTGTCTAATAGTGTTGCCTCTGCCAGTGCCTTGAATGAGATGACATTTATGGTGTAAAAGTGATGCATTATTTCTAAAGATATTATAAATCCTTTAACTTTCTGCAGTTAAGAATTCCCTATGTACTCTTTTCATCTATGCTTTTTCAAAGCACTGAACACCCTTTATGTTGCAGTAACTACGTCAGACCAGGAGAAAAATTTAATTTAACCTGCCAATCAAAACTTCTAATTTTTTAAAGTGTGAATAAGAATGCTTCAGCACATTAAGGGGTTGAGGGTTTGCTTGCTGGTAGAAAGGTATGATTTATAATTAGAGATGAAATAGCTAAAAACGAATTAGAATAACGTTGTAAGTTATCCCTTCAATTTGAATCATGTTTTCTGTGTACATTTCTATCTTGTTGAACCACCAACAAATATTTTCCTGTCCATACTGATGAAATGCAAGCTGAAATGAAAATTGTGGGGAGCACAGACTTGACTGCTGAATGTCTCCACTAGGCTTTAGGAAAGTATTCAGCAGCAGAATAAGTCTTATCTTGCATTTTAAAATGTCTTTCTCCTTTCCCCTCCAAAATCCACCTTTCAGTTCCTGCTTCACTAAAGTTCTCTGAGTGCTTTATTCTAGGATTTCAGATACCCAGAGATTCTTCATAGCTCATGATACCCAGTGTTACAGTGACACGCTCTTAGAACTTCAGTGAAGTACCATGTGAAAAGGGATTTCACAGCGGGAAGAAAATGAAAAGCAAAAAGGCAAGTTAAAACATACATTTGAGCTAAAGGCGCCCTTCAGCCTAGCTAGTGGAATTTTTCAACACAGATCTCTGTGCAGTCTTACTCTTAAGTTTGTGTTTGAAAACAAAAAATATTGCTACACATTTCTAAAGCTCCGACCATCACAGTATTTGGAATTCCACATTGTGTCTCTGGCCTTCTATACAGTATAAAAACTTACCATGCTCAGTAATATTTGTTCCCCTTTACTCAATTGAAAGGTGTAAAACATCCACATACAAGTGATTCAGTTCTAAGGAACATTTCTCACACACTGTTTCTGGGGGTTAACAACTGATTTTGTTATTCCTGCCTCAACTATTTGTGTCAGTGTGGATAGAGGAACTATCTCCCAATAGCTGCCTCAGTTGGCAAACCACCTTTGGTTCACCACCGAAGAGTCTCCTCTCTGCCCCCAATCATCTCCCCCATTTCCCCTCCAGAAAGCCCTCAACCTCTACAAGTTCCCCCCCTGCTCATATCTTCAGTTGGTGAAACAATTCTGATGTACCCTCTGAGAGCAGTATAGTAGAGACAGATGAGGGCTTCTCCTGAGTAATGATTATTGGCCACAAAACTGCATTTTCTATCCCTTAGATATATCCCTTTTTCTTCACTAGTGCCCCCCTATTTTGGTCCTTAGCTAGCAAACTAACTGTGGTTCATTGGCTGGTGGGGCCATGAGCAGAGGTATGTCCTTTCCTTAGAGAAGTAGGGCTGGGGAGGGGTCCAAGACAGCTTAGCTGTGCTGTCCATTCCTCTCCCACACCCCATTTCTATCCCTCACAGGGCCTGGAGAAGGTGCCTAGAGAAAGATCTAACAAATAACTGGATCCTGACACCCCTCTGTGTTGAAGATAAGTACTCCTAAGGCATTTGAGATGAAATGGTTTAAGGCAATGCCAATATGGATGCCTGGGTGAAAGATAACTGATCAGCATACCTAATGGGGATGCACTGAATTGTTTGTGTCTCAATTGGTGCAGAAAATGACTAATTACAAACGGTTCAGTTCTCCAGTGCAGACAAAGCATCAGTAACAACTGGATCTAATTTTTGCACTTCACAGAAAAAAGAGATGGTTTTCAAACAGCCGTGCAAACTCAAGCTGAGATGTAAAAGCCAGCATGTGTCTATCAGTCTTGCACATCACCTTCTGAAATAGAGACTCTGTATTTGGAACTTAGCTGACAGTTTTAATGACTGTGCAAACCACCAAAGAAGAGAGTACACTTGCCAGTAGCTTATATTGATTCTGCAGTGCTAACGAGTTTAAAAGTTTAAAAAATGTGTATATCTTCTTAACTGAAGGAAACAGATATAATTTGGAATTCACACAGGGATGAGATTTTTTTATTTTAACTAAAAAGTAATTTTTTTTTAAATAGTTGCAAGTATGATTAGAAATGGAAAACTAGCATGCTGGGATTGTCCCAGGGGTAGACAAGGCAATTTGTATTTTAACTTGTCATTTAACACATCTTTTTTTCTAGTGTGAACACAGCTTAAGGGAGTGAAGGCAGGTGAGGAAAAATCATGCCAGGGGAACTAAATTGCTGAAGGAAGGGGGGAAATGGGATGCTTGATTCATTTGAAAGTGCCTCTCAACTGTTGGTGAGGGAGGAAAGAGGAAATTCTGGTGTGTGAATTTTGATAAGGATGTCTGGTCTACGATATATTTATTGTTTGTATCACAGTAGCACTTAGGAGCCCCAATCATGGCCCATTATGCAAGGAACTGTACAAACATGTAACAGAAGATTGCGTTAAGGCTATCAAGATCTATGGAGACCAATGAGGGAGGAAGAAGTTTTGAGGCTTTGTTTGGGTGAAAATTACTTTGGCATGCAAAAAGTCAGTTTTAATGACTGACTGTAAACAGCATGAAACAACAGCTTTGAGATGTGAATTATTGTTCTTCTCAATTCCTGGGATATGGATAAGATCCTGCAGCTAGCATGGATTAAAAACACTCTCAAATAACTCTACTAAGATCACCTTTTTCCAGGACTTCAGGTGGAGAGACAACATACGCACTGCATATTCACTTCAAGGAAGTGAAAAGAGGCTAAATATACCAGTGTAAAGTACTCCGATGGACATGCTGAATTCTTTACAAAATCATAGGAAGCCCATAACTTCATTTGAATGTAGGTTGTGTCACAGGAGAAATTGGAATGACCCTACTGGTTCTGGAATTAAAATGCGTCCTCAAATCAATCTTCTTGGTCAGAAGTGGAATGTCTACCAGCTGATTGACCTGCCTGGATTTATTTTTTGATGGAACTATGATTATCTATATATACCTTATTCAGAAATCCTGTTGATAATTCAGGCCCGTGTTTGTTAATGCGGGCACTACAATGGCTCAGCTATGTCAATGCAGCTGTTCCACTGTAGCAACATACTGTAGATGCCTCCTATGGAAATGGAATGTGATTTTCTGTTGGCCTACCCATGTCTATTCCAGGGGTTAGGTTGGCATAATTATGGTGCTCAGGGGTGTGAATATTTTCAAACCTGGGAGTGCCATAGTTATGTCAACCTAACTTTTAAGTGTAGACCAGGCCTAAATCTTAACAGTTGTAGATCCTGAGCCTGTCAGGTGGACCCACTGAGGATGACAGTTTGAACTTGAACTTTGAGTTAGTGGCTACAGAATCTGCTTCCATTAACAACCTCCCCAGTTCCCATTCCGTAAAATATGGTCCCTCCACTTCTTAAGTATTTAACACAGTGATAGCTTGCCACCCTCTGAAGATCTGCAGCTTTGAGTGAAAGTTAAAAATGAAAAAACAAGCACAGACTTCCAGCAGTTAAACTGATATACAGTTATTTCCCTTGGAACTAACGCTATCCAAACAGTATTAAAACTAAACTCCCAGCCCTGAAAAATATTTAAAATTGTCCAGCTTGGTTAGAGGGTAAGCGCACTGTGGAACCTGGAGTTGGAGAAGCTACTGATGCAGTCCTGAATCTTCACTCCTTAGAGCAAGCAGCTCAAAAAGAGACGGCAAGAAATGACTTGACTTAGTGCGGAAATAATATGACAATAAAGAGTTTCTGAAAATTTTTGAATAAAGGAAACCTCCTGCTGGTGCAAAGTTTTAAAATGCACTGAATTTAAAGCAGAAGTAGCTATTGATGGAGCTCTAAGACTGGTTTCTCCCTCACTCCAAAAACTGGAAGTTGTCCTAGAGATGTAATTATTAAGATGCACTACTATCAGATGAGAGAATCCTGTGACTCACAGCAGATGTAAGAGCAAAAAGGACTTTTTTTTCCTGAGGGCATAAAATCAAAGTCTTTGAAGACTTCACTGAAACTTTGAGGCAGGAAAGCAACAGAAGAATTAAGGCAAAGAGAACAAAAATGTAAATGGGATTTTCCCTATAAACTCATTTTACCT